CAAAACAGCAGCAGCTAAAAAATTTTCGAATGCAGTGCAATTGAGCTGAATGCAGCCTTGAAATGCAGACAGGGCCTTAGCTCTGTGGCAGACTGTCCCCCATGCAGTCTGTGGCATCTCCAGACAGAGCTGGGAGGTACGCCTGTCTGAAATTCTGGAGGGTCAGCAGGCAGATGGTACAAAACTGGACGGACCAATTGTGTAAGGCAGCTTCCTACATTCCTAGGAATAAATGCATCTTCACAGTTTTGAAAACACTGACAGTGATGAGGTCATTGCATGCGTCCCTGGGAAGAAGAGTTTCAAAGGTGTGGGGCCACCACTGAGAAAGCTCTATCCATAATAGCTGTCAGCCTAATGGCTTCTACTGGCCGACCAGAGAGCAGGGTCTTAGATGCTGCTTGGGCTGGCTCAGATGGAGGCACTGCTTCAGAGAATGTGGTCCCAAACCATTTAGAGCTGTAAAAGCCAAAGACAGCACCTTGAATTGTGCCTAGGAAAAAACAGGATGTGACCTTAAGGGCAGTATATATAGCAAGAGATATCATCATCATCATCAACAGCAGCAACATTATACCACACTTCATCCAAAGATCACAGGGAGGTTTACATTATAAAGTTGTTGAACTTCAACTTCCAGCATCCCCAGCCAGAATGTTCAAGGGTCAAGGATGATGGGAGTTGCAGTCCAGAAATATCTGGAAAACCTCATCCCCAGCTACTAGCCATCCTGGCCAGAGCAGATCACAGATTTGGGATGCAGGAAGTGGTAGCACTGGTCACAGGCTTAATATGGAGTGCAGGGAGAGGTAGCAAAAGTAATAGATCAGGTTCTCATTAGGTACAGTGCAACTTTCAAACTATAGATATGGATTGTGGGGTGAAGAAACACACAATCTGGGTTCCCCAATTTTTTAAAAATAAAACACTATCCGTTCCCTGGATGCATCTCCAGGCTTAAGGGAAACACACCCAGGTCCCTTGTGTCAGAATTTTTACAGCAGGCAAAGGCCTAGGCAACTTAATCTACATGCAGAGTGAAAGCTGCCGATCCAAATCCTGGGTGAAAATAATATATAAGACATTAAAAAGCTCAAGAGAGCTTGAAGCTTTGGCAGAACCACCCTCCCCCCCAAAAAACCCTGTAGCAATAGAATAGAGTGTTTGAGAGCAAGTGTCAGAGCATCCCTGGCAACAGTATAAGATGCCTGCAACTTAACTTTCATTTATGCAGAAAACACATTGTGGAGGCAGTGTGGTGGTACATTGATACAGCAGGCAAGGTCCAGTTTCCAAATATTTGCACCTGGAGGAAAAAGGCTTGTTTGGCTTGAATGTGTGTGAGAGAAGAGACAGAAAGAGGAAAGGAGGGAGATGAGAAAGAGAGCGCATTTTTTTTTTTTTTGTGGCAGAGGCTGTGGCATTTCCAGCAAAATTTCTCTGAAGCTATTAATTGGTTCGTACATCTCTGCAGTGCAGTTAGAGTCCACCCCCCCATGACAACCATCCTTTTCAAAATATTTATTGTACTAGTAGTATTATGCATGGGTGGGACCAAGTATATAATATTTTCTTTGGCAACTAAGCCAGCTAACCGCCCACACAAAAATGGAACGCATTGGACCAATATTAACCTGCTGAATAAGATAAGGGCTTTAGAAATTCACTGCAACAGAGAAGAAATATGTGCCCTCAGGGCTGTCTCGCCGTACAATGAAATGAAATGTCCCTTTTAAAAGCTCAGTGTTGCACTAGACTGCCTACCCACATGTGTATCCAGGATACAGAGACTACAATGCCCCAGGCGTAATTATTGTACACGGTCTTTGCCCTGAGATGCATGGGCGATCTGGAATGTTTTTCACACAGAAATTATCATTGCTGTTGCTACATTATTTTTCCTTGCAATTTAGGATAACATGGGGACCAAATTGGAGAGAAAGATTTTTTTTCTCTCCCTTTCTCATGATACTTCAATTTGGCCCACCCAATGAAGCTGAATGTTGGAAGCTTTAGGATGGCAAAACATTCAGTATTTCTTTAAGCAGCGCGTAATTAAACTATGCCTGGAGACACCCAATCAGGTTGTGCATAGCAGTGACCGGGAGGAACGTGGAGAGAGGAGAAGCCATGGTGCTTCTGTAGCAGCACAACTGGATGCCTACATCTTCCCCAGCTGCAACAAAACATGTCTCTCCCATATCATTCTCTACAGCTACAGCAGGCATTGTAACCTTCAATAGTTTTGACTTCATCCTCAAAGGTGCATTCCTCCATTATCTCCCTAGACAGATGCCAACCAACCAAGTAATGGCCACCAACTTGGATGGCTTTAAACACATGGAGGATAAGGCAATCAATGGCTACCAGGCTATAGATCAGCTCAGTGTTAGAGGCTATATGCCGGTTGCTGGGGTTCAAAATGGGAAGAATGTCAATCTTGTGAGCTTCCCATAGGCATCTGGTTAGCTACAGGGAGATCAGAATGCTGGGCTGGATCCAGCAGGGCTCTTCTGATATTCTTAAGGCAGTGAAATTGCCAAAAGGAACTGGGGTGCAGAGATGCAAGAAACACAGCTGCATTAAGGGTAGTTGTAAAAAAATTGGTTATAATGCCCTCAAAGCTTATGAGGATAGATTCCCCCAGCTCTATGAGGGGAGAACTGCACGTTGCGAAAAAAAATGTGACCCCACCCTCTGCTTTTTCCTATAACGCTAATGCAGAGGAGTGGAAGACTTTTGCTACAGGGAAGAATTGGTGGGTGGATAGGAAAGGTGTTTAACCATTTCTTGCACATTACCCAAATGCCTATTTCCCCCTATTAGCCAGACTCTGAGACCAGAAGTATTTCTGGGGATCAACGAGGGAATTTCCTCCCAATGCAAATAGCAGCTGCGGAGAAAGGATTTTCCTCAGAATCACCCCAGGGGAGGAAAGTTACAGTACTTCCGTCACCTGCACCTGCTCTGACTTACATAATTATCAGCCCCCATCGTGTGATATTTTCATTTTGCTAAAAGGCATTTAATGGCACTTTTAGTTTGCCCCTCAGCCTCCTTTACAAACGTCACCCTGCCCCTCATTTTCATTACCTCCAGTTTGCCTAATTCAGTGCAGTATCCCATGTTCTTGTCATGTTCTTCGATTTGGTTTATCTATATCCATTACCCAGGGATGCTGCCTGAATCATGAGTGGCTTTATACTGTGCTAAAAAAGAGGAATTGCTTTGTACTAGCCAATCGTATTCAGTTGGAAATGGACTTTCGAATACTAATAAATGAGTTTCAATAACACTGAAATAAATCCATATTGTGTGTGTGTGTGATTTGTGACCTTTTTTGTTTGCTTGTTTGAAGTCAGTGAGCACTCACCATTCTTCAGATATCCAGACAAGAGATCTGGATTAGATAGAATATGCAGTAGGGTTTTTCTACCTTCCTACGCGAGATCAGTCCTTATTTTTCTTGACAGTAGCTTGCATGGAACACAGTAAAATTATTTCAGCACTAAACGGTAGGTGTTCAGTAAAACACTGTGAGAAGATTATCACTTTCTCACTTTTGCTCAGAAGAGCCAGAGAAAGATCCTGAGCACAGTGGCGATGACTTCAATGAAATGATGGACTTCTGCTTGTGTTTTCCTCTGTTTTCATCAAAATAGAATGTAGTTTGGGATTACTGTGGTCAATTTCTATGCAATTGCTTGCCAGGGACAACAGTCATTGTCAAGGGGTACCAAGGATGGGGGAGAAATTAGACTCGATTCACAGCTAAAGAATCTAATTCACACCTTCCAAAACCAAACTGAAACAGAGCATCTCTTTGATATTTGCACTTCTCTCAATTTTGCAATGCAGTTATCCAGCCACGTAATGTACACAAATGCATATAACTAGAGTAAAATGTACATAAAATTGCATATATCATGAAGATAACATACAAAAATGTGTTATATTGGGGAAAACTGCATGCAAACATGCATACACCAGGAGAAATTAACACCCAAGTTATGATGAATATTCATGAGGACTTTTAAAAAAAAAGCAAATAGATATCAACATGTAGAGAACCGAAGACTGATAAAAAGAGAGAAACTAAAATGGAAAGGTTTGCCCATCCCTAGGTGTTCCATGAGTTGCTTAAGCAAAGGGGGGGGGGATTGGCCAGTTGCAACAACGTTTTCAGTCTTTGTATTGGGAAAATATTTTTAATTGGTCCAAAATCTCCCACCCATTAGCCTAATGAAGTATGTAACACATGCTGCTGTTCAATTTATTTGCAGAGTATGAGAACTGCAGGACAATTTCCTAACACCATGATAATTGTGTTTTTCACAGGCCTCAAAATGGGTCTTATATCATCAGTTCAATATAAAGGGTTCTGGGCCTTTGTGAAACCAGCAAATATCAAAATAGAAGAAATAATTATGCAAAACAACATCCATTATGGAGATGGGCGGTTGAGTTTGTTCAGGGCGGGGAATGCACTATTCTGATGATTTAAGTATATTCAAGTACATCGTCTGGGAAAATGGGGTGCAAAGTATCTGCTGTTCTGTAGGAAAAGCAATAAGCCCTGGGTCACTGTGTCATGTAGATCTTGCTTTAACAAATCTTCCTGAATTCTGTCCCTGTGTATTAACCGCAAAGAACAGCGAGGGGACAAAATGAAACACAATTAATTATTTCAAAGGAAAGAACCAAATGAACAACTAAGCACAGAATGCTGATGGGCAACGCAATAATCTTTTTGGCACTTTGAAATAATAGTCATTTGGAGTCCTTGGAAGGAAGGAGCGATCCAGAGATGAAAAGTCAACTACACCTTAGTGCAGTGTTTCCCAACCTTGGGCCTCCAGCTGTTTTTGGACTACAACTCCCATCATCCCTAGCTAGCAAGACCAGTGGTCAGGGATGATGGGAATTGTAGTTCAAAAACAGCTGGAGGCCCAAGGTTGGGAAACACTGCCTTAGTGTATCCTATGAATATAAGAAATGAGAATGAACCTATACTTTATAAGGTGATTTGGAAAAGCAATTTTAAACACCATTAAAGCCCAAAGTCTATTACGTCCAGCCGTTCCTTATGCTGAGTAACCAAAAGAACATCATTTGTTGAGTAATTAAATAGGCATTCCTTCTTTTCCAAACATCTATATAGTGCTGGCAAGAAAACATCTTTATTTTAATGGTTACCCTCCTTGAATTTTAATACCATGGGAAGTCACTAATAGTTGAGATTAGAAAGACTGCTAGCCTCAGCCTGCTGAAGACACGATCTTTGGACTCAGCTTTTTTGGGTACAGTATTCCTTTTCTTGCTCTTTACCCAAAAAATACAAAAGAGTAATGCTTCCCTTCTTTTCCACTGGTCTGGAGGATGCTAAGGATTCGCCTCAGCTGTTGTTTACATAACAAAAAGTGTGCACATTAATTGCACACATCCAATTAATGTCAGATCACGTTTCATCCTTAAATTCTGAAGAACAGGAAGGAATTTCCAGACTGGTCGACAGACCTGATAACATCTGTGCTCCAGTCAGGATTGACCATTCCCAGGAGATACCTATGCCTCTTCTTACTGTAAGAAATGGCTGGTGCATACTAAGACTTGTAGGACCCTAGCCAAGGGCTGGCAAGAGATCCTTCCCCTTCTATCATCCAGTCCCTACAACAGCAGCAATGCATGGGTTGAACAGCACAGAGTAGAGTGTAAAGGTGAGATTAGTTGCTGTGGGATCTAGTCTTAGAGATTCTGTCATGGTTTCTTTAGCTGGGTCCTTTCCAAGGCCTTGATGTCAATGCAGATTTGAGTGAAAAGAGAAAAGTCTTGATAACACTTTAGTGAGAAAGCTGAACAAAACAGTGTGTATTTTGAGGAGAAAGGAAGAGAGATGTGCTGGTCCCATGGGTTACCCGAGAGGTGAGGTCCAAGTCCGGTCCGTGGTCAAAGGTGCAACATGGAGGCAGTCCGTAGTAGCTGAAGCTGGGTGCAGGGCAGGGAGTCAGGTGAAGTCAGGAACAGGCGTGCAAGCAGGGATCCAGGACGGGTCAGGGGCTCTGGCAGAAAAGCAGGACAGGGTTCAGGCAGGAACTAGCAATCAACAATGTTGCTCCCGCAACTAGGGACTGGGGCTGGCCAGCTTTTATCTCCCCCGAGGCATAGGGCGGCCCCAATCCTCTGGTGACTCGCCTCTCCTGGCCTCCTGGGCAAGCACTCCTCCTGCGGGAACTTAGTTCCCTCCGCCTCTCTGCCCTGAGCCTCTGCAGGTCAGGAGAGGCTGGAGGGTTACTGGACCCAGAGGCAACCTCAGCTTCCTCTGACGGGGCTGAGAGTGGAGCACCTGCAGGCAATGGGTCCTCCATCACCTCAGGAGCCAGAGCAGACTCAGCTGATGCCTGTACCTGAGGATTCAGCACAGGTGAGGACCCTTCAGGCTTATGCCCCAGCCCCGGCTCAGCTGGTTCTGGAGGCAGGGAATCCTGTGCAGGCTGGGATCCCTCAGGTTCAGCATCCGAGTCCGAATCCCAGGCCATCACAAGAGAAGTCTTGTCTTTCTTCTTTCTTATGCAAAGCAGAGAGACATTCTACCTAACATGCAGGGGGTGGGGGGAAATCCTCTAGAACTACACAACCAATCAGATCATGTATTACCTCAGAAAAGATCATGCTGCTCTGATTGCTAAGCAACACCTCCACCCACCCCAAGCTAGACTGAATTAATCCTTATGTTACAAACGGCTGTTGAACTTCCAGCACTGCTTTGTATTTTTAATAGAATGTCAAGGTCCACCTGCCAGAGCCAGGTGCAAAACAGGACCTTGGGGGTGTGGACATACATAAGATTTAGGAACAGGGTTCTTCTCAACACATGCTCAATCAAGGAATTTGATTTTTATTTCAAGCACTGGAACCGAGGTGACTGCCTGCCCCTTCTTATTAAAAACCTCCACTACTGATTCCACTACTGAGAGCTAGACCATAAAGAAGGCTGATGCTTTTGAATTATGGTGCTAGAGGAGACTCTTGAGAGTCCCATGGACTGCAAGAAGATCAAACCTATCCATTCTGAAGGAAATCAGCCCTGAGTGCTCACTGGAAGGACAGATCCTGAAGCTGAGGCTCCAATACTTTGGCCACCTCATGAGAAGAGAAGACTCCCTGGAAAAGACCCTGATGTTGGGAAAGATGGAGGGCACAAGGAGAAGGGGATGACAGAGGACGAGATGGTTGGACAGTGTTCTCGAAGCGACCAACATGAGTTTGACCAAACTGCAGGAGGCAGTGAAAGACAGAAGTGCCTGGCGTGCTCTGGTCCATGGGGTCACGAAGAGTCGGACACGACTAAACGACTAAACAACAACAACTGGTTCCTTGCTATAGTCTTAGCAGCATAATTTAGAAACAGCCAGGAGTCAGGAACCTTTGCTGATCTAAATCACCAAGAGATCTACCACTAAATCCTGATCCACTTTCTGCTCCCCCTAGTTTATAGGATGGGCCCATTTGTTTCTTGGCATTACTATGCCTACAGCTTTATTCATGTCTGGAAGCTTTTGAAAAGAACTTTCTGTAATAAAGTACTTATCCTTTCTGTAACTGAAATGTCTCATTCCTTTTTTATGTATGATCATTCTGGACTTAATTTATAAGGTGTCATGTATTACTCACTTATAGTTCTTGGCTCTGATTAAAGGTTCTATATCATCTTTCACACTTCAGAATTTTTTTTGTATAAATTGCCATAAAATAATATTTAAATCGCTCACTTGATCTAGGGCATTTGACATTCAATTGCCTTTTTTTCCTTTTACATAATAATTGTACTTAGCATTAGTATTTCATGCATAAAATCATTTATTGGAAACTTGCAATTGGAAAAAATAGATTAGATGATGATATAAATTTATGGGTAGAAACGAATAAAAATAGGAAAGCACCCTATATAACCCCCATTTCTGCCCTCCAATCACGCAAAATGTTCCTTTGGTATTGAGGATTTCAGATCTTTTATTGGAAGACTGTACGTGATGGTATAAGCTATAGCCTGCACTGTGAGAGGGATGGGAGGCCAGCAAACTAGCCAGACCAACGCTTCCTTTTTCTTAACTTCATCACTGCCAGCATGTGCCCCCAGCCAGCCTTTTCTGGATGCCTCTACTATGTGAAGTGAATAACAAGGTCTCAGACTGGTGTGGCAACAGTGGCACTGCCACCGCCGAAGAGTGCTGCCCACTCTTGACAGGCAAGCTGGTGGTGCAGTGGAGGCAATGCAGATTTGGCCTTCCTGCCAGTGCTTCTGGGCTACTCCAACCTCACTGCTGTCCTGCAGCACCCCTGCACTGTGCTGGCAAGCGGCAGTGGCAAAGCGCCCCTGCCCTGCCCCTTGGTCCTGAAGCAAGTGGGGAAAGAGCTGTCCGTCCTCGCAGAATTAAAACATGATTTCTGCAGAGGCTTTCTGGCTGAGGAGCAACAGCATCACTTATGTTTTCTGGTTAGAATGCAGCACTACAGATCTCTCTCTCCCCTCCCAGGTTTGGCTGAAAACTTTAAAGACTGCAGACAGGAGTCTGAGAGGTCTCTGGTTGCCGATTGCTGTCAGGTTTATAGATGCATTCCTGTAGAACGCCTAAGCAAGTCGTTTCTGTTCTCTGCAGGATGCCACTTCTGGCTGTAAAACCCCACTATGTTAAAGTGATGGCAGAGACCCTGCTTAAACTGACAAGGGCCTTGGAATTCTGATAAAAGTTGGAATCCTTGCTTTTTTTACTCACACCCACACTGCCTTCTCCCCATGTGCCCTGTGGAAAAAACAAAAAACAGATGCTTACATAAGGTACTGCAGCATTAGCTCTCCTATACCCAAAACTATAAGAGTTTATCTTGTTGTTGCAGAGGTCAGATAGGATTATGTTGAATCCTTTCCAGAAAAGTACACATTCTTTTAAAATGTCTTCATTTCCCAAGGGGTGCAAAAGAGGGAGGAACTACCTTGGAGCTCTAGGGATGTACGAAGCCACCTTATCCCGAGAAGAGATGGGGAAGAAATTCAATTTTGTTCGCACTTAATGATAAGCTCTACCTGATTCATATTTCTCAAATGCAGGTGAGCTGTAACAAAGCTATACTTCAATATTTGCACTTCTCTAAATCTCGTGATGCAGTTCTCCAACCAATGGGCAAGAAGATGCATATATTAGGGGAAAATGTACATAAAAATGCATATATTAATAAAAATAATGTTTGCATAAGGGAAAGTCGCTTTCAAAAATGTGCTTATTAGTCAAAATTTCATATAAAAATGTGTTTTTAGGAAGGAATTTCCACTCAAATTCCTCATAGCGGAGGCCCTGCGGAGACTGTGGTGTCTTTATGATATATGGTTTATTTACATATATCTACAACCTGAGCCTACGATGGAGAAGTTTACAGCATTAACAGGTCTTGCCTCTCCCATAGGTACATCATGGTTTCAAACAGATATCAGCATCATGCTCTGCTTTGCTTCTGCTGGTCACAACTCCTACTTTAAACTTCTGCCTCACATCACTTCTTCACCCTACTTCTCTAATCTTAGGCTTTATCTTTAGCTGAAAGGGCCCCCACCCTTTGCCATCTCACACAGAATTAACTTTGATGCTTTGTGTTCTTCTTATTGGCCCATCCCCAGGCTACCTCACACAGGAGATCAGCCTAGCTGAATTAGCCCTTCACACATGCTGATTCCAGAGGATTAGCATTGTATAGCACACAGCTCAATATACATGGGTCTGGCCTAATGCACATGAGTCTAATATGCACGGGTCTAGCTATTCCCCAGTTTTAACACACCAAGCATAGATTAAATTCTGAAACGATCATAGTGGTCTAGCACCCACAGACTCATAACAATACAGTGAACGTCAAAAGGCAGGGAGTTTGTAGAGTGCATGGGGCAATATAATTATAGGAAGCCCTACAGCACACCTAAATGTGAAAACTAACACTGTAGGTTTGAAGAATAGAATAGAAAAGAAAGAAAGAAAAGAAAGAAAGAAAGACGTGACACAGATAATGTATTATTTTGTTAGATTGTCTGTCCATTGTAATGCCTTTAATGAAAACTACACATTAAAAAGAATGCATGAGGGAGTGTAGCTGAAATCTCATTTCCCATGGATGTGATTTCATATTAGGAGAATGATCTAAGTCACTGGACCTTCCAAGAAAGAGAGGAATCAACAGACAGTGACATTCTCTTTGCTAAGTGGTAACTGTCTTTTCCACTGAAAATCAGAGCCATATTTTAGAGGAGACAGAGTGAAATCCCTGCTGTGAATGTGGGAAATTAAATGGAAATAGTTTAGAGGTAAAAATGGACTTGTGGCACATTGCTATACTTGCTCTGTGTTTATCTACGTACCCAAGAGGCTCCTCAAGGCTGCAATATACTCACATTCCAGGTTTTACTGGGCGGGGTTGTTGCTACAAGTGCTTTGATTCCCTTTCATCGCATTGGCTTGTCCTTTATCCTGTCCCACAAATCTCCTGTTATAAACTCACCACTAGGGGTTTTAGCCCCAAGTTCTTATCTCTGTTTCCCCAAACTGTTTGCTCTGTGAGTGGGATGGGATGTGTCTCTTGATAACTCCTCTCTGTCTCTCCTGCTTCCCTCAGCTTCCCTGTTTCTGGTTCCTTGTGGGGCTCACACCTCCCACTCGACATTTCTGCTTTATCTCCGCATGCTGATAGGAGAGGCCTTCTCTCCAGCCCAACCTGATCTATTGCTGGTGGACCTCCTACAAAGACTTGCACAAAAATGGCAACACTGCTGCATCATCCTCTCACACGTATTTGAAAATCCACTTGTATTTTAGGGCTGTCAACTCTGTCACAGAAAATAGTGGCAGAGATTGCATTTTAAGAAAAAGAATATATCATCTGACTTCAAGGAAACAAAGAACGAAGGGCAATTTTGCTCCCATGGGTCCAGAGATACAGTTATTGAAACTAACATCAACAGAAAACCTGAGTGCCTGGGCCACCAAAATCTAAAAAGCCATTGTCTTGCAAAAATGTA